TTTTTTGTCTTTTTGAGACAGGGTCTCCCACCCAGTAACCCAAGCTGGCCTGGAACTCACTGTGTAGATCAGGCTGGCCTGAACTCACAGAAATCTGCCTGCCTCTGACTCCCAAGTGCTGAGATTAAAGGCATGCACCACCACACCCAGCTCAATGAAATATTCTTTAGAAACATCTGTCTGTTATTTGAGAGTTCTTGTATATGTTTATTTTATATTGTAGCTCTACTTAAAATTTATCATGTATTGATTATTGTGTTTTATAAAAGTTTAGCTCATTGTTCTCTTCCTAAATCATTCCAAAGTCAGTAGTAGTGGTGCATGTCTATAATTCTGGTGCTCACGGCTGAGGCAGAAGGATAATGAATGGGAAGGTAGCCTTGACTACATAGTGGACCCTGCCTCTAAATAAGTAAAATTTCTGAATACATAGGCTTTCACTGAAAATCTAGTATGAAAGATTTGTAGTTCATGGGGTTAGCTGGAGAAGACCATCGCAAACTTCATTTTCAAGCTGTTTTCATTCCTGTGACAACCTTATTATTTTCTCAAGGTTTTAAAATCAGAAAGCATAATAAACACAGCATTTAAAGTAGAACTCGATTTCCTTTTCTGGAAAAAACACAAACCAAATTCTGTTTGGTCATCTGAATGTCCAAGAATGTGCACTAATAGTTCCTGGCTTTGATTACTGTCAACTCCATGTGACCCAATTCATGAGATTTTTAATGTGTTGTTGTTTGAGACAGGATCTCCCGGCAGCCCCAGCTGGCCTGGTTCTTACTATGTAGAACCAGGCTGGCCTAGATCTCACTGAGATCTACCCACCTCTGCCTCCACACCAGTGCTGGGATTAAAGGCATGCACCACCACACCCAGCATAGGTGGAATTTTTAGTAAGTAATTAGGTATGTGAACTGGTTAGCCTTAGAATAGCACTCACTATTTATTAAAGGTGTTAAAATCAGAGCTCTGCATAAATTACTTTACCCTAATACTTGATTTTTTTTAACTACAAATTTGACTTTAGAAAGGAAAAGATATCAACTATAATCTACCTTCTTTAACAATATAAAACATACCTATAGAAACTGGCACTGTGAGAGAGTTCTGGGATGCCTCTTCCCAAACATCATACTGAATCATGAAATAAATTGCCTTAGATTTGAACATCCAAGTCATTTCGACCAATGACCTGTTTTCTTTGGGCTCTGAAGACTGGCCTTGCTATTTTTGTGCATTTTTTAGAAGTAAAATGCTCAACCTTTTAAAATTGCATTTTTGCAATGAAGCCAAGAGGAGGAGCGTGTAGCTTGCTGGGCTCTGCATAAGTATGAGGCTGATGGTACTCCTTCTTTCCATCCTCTCCCTAGATGCACATCGGGAATTCCTTCACAGGCCTGCGTCTGGATATGTGCCAGAGGAGATCTGGAAGAAAGCTGGTAAGAATTGTTTAAAAACAACGAGTTTAGTGTTCTGGCAGCTGTGTGCAGTTGTTAATGCAGGGATGTGGGGAATGACAAGAAAAGACTTCACTGCAAACAACAATAATAGCAAAAACAAAACAAAACAAAGCAAAAAACCCACAAAACAAAATAAACTTAAAAAAAAAACCCACTTCATTAATATTCTTAAACCGGGCCTGATTAAAACATGAAATAGATTTTATTTCCGTAGCATCTGCTAGTGCCATTGTAATTGAAAGCCTGGCGACAGTTCCTTCATAACCTCCTCCTCTCTTCCCAGTGGCTGTAATGATTTCAGACTGAAATTTAGTGCAGGTCTCAGCTTGCATGTAGTTTTTCTTGGATGAAAGAAATCTAGTGTTTTAGGAATGAAATTGCACACTTCAGCATTTTCCACTGCATTCTTTAAAAAAAAAATATTGAACCAAACCTTAATTTGTTAAGGAACTTTTTAAAGATTATTTTTTGGTCATAATCAGCTTTTTAAATCATTCTCCTGTGGTGTTTAGTACGAAATCATCAGAACTAAATTACTTCTTGAGTTGAGTGACAGAGTTCCTGGACTTTTGCTTCATCCGCAGACTGTTTGCTTCCGTTACGAGCCATTACTGTGCGGTCTGTGGTAGATTTGAGGCTCCTGATGACCCATTGGCTTCTTACTGGGCTTAAAGTTCAGAGCTGGCAGAAGCTTGGTGGAGCTGAGCATAAAGTCTGTATAAAATCCAACTCAGGAGCTAAAAGATAAGCCTATTTCAAGAGCTAAAGATGACATGAAGAACAAATTCTGACTGTGTCTTTGAGCTGTTGTAATTCCACCTGTGACAACTGAGTTGAAAAACTGGGAAGAGCTGTTCCCGCAGCTAGTCAGGGCTCCAGTACCAGCCAAGGGAAAGGGTATTTGTTCTTGTTCTTACTGTTTTTCTGCAAAAGATTTCTTTGGGGATTTTGACTGAACTCCGCTATTTGTGATTCTTTGCACTCTGATTATTCACATGTACTTTATTCACAAGTTTTGCAGATATTTCTAAGAAACACTAGTTTTTGTAAGAGTGAGCATTAGTTTCAAAACATCTGATAAGTTTAGTTGCTTAGGTTAAGAACTAGAAAGCTTGGGCTGGAGAGGTGGCTCAGCAGTTAGAGGACCAGCTGCTCTTGCAGAAGACCTGGATTTGATTCCCAGCAAACACACAGTGATTAAACCCTGTTACTCCAGTTCCAGGGGATCCAATGCCCTCTTCTGGTCTCCGTGTACATTGGATGAATGAGTGCACACACATACATGCAGGGAAAACACTCATACACATAAAATAAAAATAAAACAATTTTTTAAAAAGTTTAGAAGAAGTCTAGAAAGCACTCTTACTTGTCTGATACATAAATCAGGTAGATCCAGCTAGGTTAATTGCTAAAATGGAAGTGCTGCTCACCTATTTAATGTACCTGATTTTTGGCAACAGTCTTGTGACTCTCAAGTTCTTCGTAATCTGCTGAATGCTGCCTAACCCAAAAAAGAGTTGCTGGATCCTACTTCTCACATTTTCTATCCACTTTTAAGCTGTCAGGGCCTCTTACTCTAATAAAAGGTACAGGAATTGCCATTTTGGACAGTGAAAGAATGGCCTCTTAGCTGAGAGAAGAAGAGTCTTTTAGTCTTTCTCTGTCTCCCTTAGTCACATGTATTTAAGTTAAATTCTTAATAGTTCCTAAAGAAAATTGACAGTAGGGTCCCGTATAATCCAAATTCCTTCTCTGCTGTTACCTGCTCCACCTTTGTTGGGCTGCTAATAATAAGTGAGAGAAGATTTTTCTAAATATATAACCTTTGTTGGAAAGTCAGCTTGAATAGCTAAGCATAAAGTCTTTCCATAAGTGGTAAGCAATTGGAAGCAGATTCAGAACTGCACCGTGTAGTTTCCACCTAATCAAAGTGGTTTTTTTCCCCTACTTGACACATTGGAATGAATTGAATCCACCACTATTTTTCTTTGCTGTCTGTTTAGTGGGTGTCTGAAACTAATCTTGATGTAGTTTAGGATCAGGGACTTAGATTGAGAAAGAACGGTTTTTGTTTCCGTTGTGCTGGTGCACTCCTTAAGGAGTCGGGGGTGACCTTACCAGGGAAGACTTAGGGCTATGGTTAGATGCGGCTGTCATCCATATTGCGTCTTCATTCTAATATATGATTTGGTTGTGGTGCGGATTAAATTCGTATTCTTCCCATTGTGGAATTCCTACCTGTCACACAAGAACTGTTTGGGAGTAATATTTTTATGAATGGATGCTAACTTTTAAATTTATTAAATCCCTGATATACAGATGACAGCTTTACCTGCAGAGCTCCAAGAGCTGCTTTGTAATATTTTCTTAGCCATGCTTCTTAAGAAGCAGGCCTGGAGCTTCCACTGTCGAGACATCCAGTGGTGTGAGAATGCCAAGGGTCAAGTGCGATGTCTGCATTCAGCTTCTTGGTCAAGTGCGATGTCTGCGTTTGGATTCTAAAGTTCACTGTGTGAGCAGAAATCAAAAGACAAATCCAGGCTTGATGAATTGCACCTGTACTTGCAAAGTTGAGGCAGGGGGATCGCACAAATTAGAAGCAGCCTATGCTACAGAATGAGCATAGGCTGTTCTCAACAAACAGCAAATAACGAAACCAACCAACCAATCGAACAAACAAAAATCCTAAATGAATAAACAGACCCTCCTACTCTATTTTTTTAAGAGGAAACTATAAAATATGCCTTTTCCATGAAAGTACTATGCATTATTCTTGTTGGAAAAGATAGAGTTTAAAATATTTGAAAAATACCAAATGAACACAATCCTAAGACTTACGAAGTACCACCACAGCATCATTTTCACAGGAAATTATGATTGTAAAAATATATACTTTGTTTTGAATTATCGTATCCAGTTTTTATACCCCTTTGTTTTGAAGTGATTTTAAAGTTGCATAAAACTTTCAAAAAACAGTATGAATAATTCCTTATAACTTTTACCCATTTTCCTCATTTGGTTATTCTTGTATTCAGTATCCTTGTTTTTCTTCTCTTTCCCACTTTTGCCTCCCTTCTGCTCTCTTTGCTTTTCCCTCCTGGCTAGAGACATATATTGTATTTACAAATACACATGTTTTTTCCAAAGTACTTGAGTAGTTTGCAACTGTTATGTTTCCTTACCATAAACATAGTATGTGCTTCCTATATCCTTACACAACCATGGCACAGTTCCAAAATCAGGATGTTAACATTATAATACTATTAGATCATCCACAGATCCTGTGCAGGCTTTGTATATTGCTTCGGTAACATAGTTTAGTATCATATTAATGCACAGTTTTAGAGATTACAAATCCTAACAAATACTAAAGGGTTTTTCTCTTAAAATAGCATTATTAAAAACAAGAGCAAAGATAACAAACACACTCAAAAGTTACAATGGCTCTTTGTAAAACGGGAGGGGTGTGGAGTGGCAAATCAAACATAAAAATGGTTTTAAAATTGCAACTGAATGTTTTCTTCAGTATATTTCTTTTCAAACGATCATAGAATGTTTGCAGTTGGTAATAAATATTCAAGCACCTTGCAAATGTCCTACCAATTCTCTTTACTGATCTGTATATGCCTGTGGGATTAGAATAGGAATGCATAATTTAAATATAAATTGCCTGATTTGCATATACAATTAGTCAAGCTACAGCTTTGATCCTAAGCAAAAATTATTGTCCTGTATTACCACTTAGATAGAATTTTAATTCACCTTGAATACTCAAGCTAAATTAGACCCTGGCTGTGTAGTTAGCAGGGCACCACTTCCTCTGCACCCTGATAGGGTAGTAAAGGCATCATTTGTCTCCTGCTGAAAAGGTGCTGTAAGCTCTGTGTGCAATACCCGGATTCTGACCAGATTTTAATGCACATCTTGTAGGAACTAACAGAGGCTTACCATATTTTAGTTAATATTTCCAATCTGGGCCTTTCCTTTAGATTATAGTTTGTGAAACTTAAGCAGATGTTAACCACAAAGAATGTATACCAGGAATAGTGCTGCTAAAGTGACAGAGGTTAGGGCAGTCGTGACATTGAGTTATGGAAGGGGGCTTTCTGATGATCTTTAGGTCTTGCACTGTAGACTTGTGAAATAAACCAGAAGAATTTGAGTAACCCTAGGAGTACTCACATCTCTTACATTTTTAATCTACAGTAAAACATTTTTATTAGGAATCTATGTTTTTAATTAAACAGAACATTTAATTAAGGTGCTTTTTAAGTGGGTGAAACAATTAAGTGCAAACACTTGAATGAAACATGTCATAATTAGTTTTAATAGAGTGTTAATTGGTACTAGGTTTGCCAAGTTAATAATTACTGCTTATTAAATTTTCAATTAATCATTGTCATTTTGCTTTGAATAAAGATGAAAATTAGATAAACTAATTCAGGAGGAGGATATTTTCCCTTGTTAATTAGAAGAGTTAATTTTTTTAATGGGAAATACTTGTTTTAGTTGTCAATCTTCTGTTGTACATTACTTGAGTCTTTGCACCCCTACCACAGCCAAAACTGAAGAGCTAATTGGGCACTTTGCAGGTTTGCAGTCAGGTCTGGTTCCATGACTTGTGCGATTCCCATTTTGTTTGTCCAATGTAACACGTGCTTATGCAGAACCACCGTATATAGAGAACAGATTAAAACTTACAAATGATAAGGTTATTATTATTTTTTTGTGTGTGGTCTTTTTGAGACAGGGTCTCCCTGTAGCCCCAGCTGTCCTGGAACTCACTATGTAGACCAGGCTGGCCTTGAACTCACAAAGATCCACCTGTCTCTGCCTCCCAAGTGCTGGGATTAAAGGCGTGTGCCACCACGCCTGGCAGGTTATTTATTTTTTTAAAACCTGTCATTTACTCTACAGAAGCATATGTCCTTATCATTCATGACAAGAAAAAGTAAAACTGCGTGATCTATTTCATTACTGATTATATTTAAAGATTCTTATATGGAGCCTGGGATGGTGTTGAACTCTCTGTCTTCTGCCTCAGCCTCCTGAGTGCTGGAGTACAGGCATGCACAATGATGCCAGGCTGGAAAGCCATCTTCCTTATGTGTCTGAATTATTGACACAAGTTTCTCAAGGGTATTCTTGCCCTTTACTTAGCCTGGTCCCGGAGTCATTTCTGGGTCACTATTGTGGTGGAAGCCTATGGAAATGATATATGATGTATTTAAAAAATATTTCCAATGAGAAGTCAAAGAAAATTTCTCACCTTTTGTTTTCCTAAATGAATTTGAAAGATGTATTTGTTTTTTAGACAGGCAAAACTGTCCAGTAATTTGGTTGAGGACCTGTGCCTGGTCTATAAAAGTCTGTTAAGAAGGGATCGGTGCTCCTGGTGCTGAACTAACCCAGAGGTCTTCTCTTTGGTCTGACCTGACACTACAGAGGAAGCCGTGAATGAGGTGAAGCGCCAGGCGATGACCGAGCTGCAGAAGGCTGTGTCCGAAGCAGAGCGGAAAGCCCATGACATGATCACCACAGAGCGAGCCAAGATGGAGCGCACGGTGGCTGAGGCCAAGCGGCAGGCTGCGGAGGATGCGCTGGCAGTCATCAACCAACAGGAGGACTCCAGCGAGGTAAGGCCTGAGTCGCCACCAGCAAAGTTCTAGAGCACTCCTGTGTGTTTCCAGGACCTCACAGATAAAAAGTGGGGGTTGGACTTCAGACAAATCACGGGGAATCTCAGAACAGTGTGGGGAAATCTAGGCCCTTGTGGACTAAGAACCGATCAAATTTTGTTTCTTCATTACAGACCTGGAAGAAAAATGGTCTGACTAAGGAGGTTTTTAAGAGCTTGGTAAACAAGATTAATGTGACATTCCTTCTTTTGATCTGTGTGTGTGCATGTATGAGAGAGAGAGAGAGAGAGAGAGAGAGAGAGAGAGAGGGAGAATAATGAGGGCGTATGTGTGGCACAACATGTGTCTGATAGTCAGAAGACAACTTGGGCCTCAGGTCCCTGCCTTCTACTTTGTTTTGCACAGGGTCTCTTGTTTATCTCTGTCCGTGCTAGGATTCTCCTGTTTCCATTCCCATATCCCTCAGAAGGGGAGAAAGTCCTTCCCCTAGAAGGTTCTTAGTCTCATTCATAAAAGAATTTTAAGAATGGACCCAAATGAAAACTTCTAGGACAATTTTATTAGAAGTTTAAGGGAAATCCTCAGGGCAGGGGAGCTAGTAATCTTGGCAGCTGCCTTGAGGAGGAGAATGAAGGAGAGAAGGAAAGAAATCCATGAAGCCATGCAGGCTCAGAACCTGCATGGAGGTCAGACATGTGGCTGACTGGCAGGCACATGGCTGAAAGAAGGAGAAAAAGTGAAGAAATACAAGATACTAGGGCAGCCCAGATCATTAAAGAAAGCATGTTTAGAAAAGGGATATGGGGGCTGGAGAGATGGCTCCACAGTTAAGAACACTGGTTGTTTTTGCAGAAGACCTGGGTTTGCACTTACCTACATGCAGGCAATACATGCACACATATAGAATAAAAATAAATACAACTAAAAAAAAAAAAAAAAAAAAAGAAAAGAAAAGGCATATGAAGAAGAGAAGGAGCGATTACGCTTTTTTGAATTCTTCGGCAAAGCAGGCAGACTTACACAGACCTACAATGTCTGTGGCCCGGTCCAGAAGCTCTGCACTAGGAGGCAGGACTCCAGGCAGGAAAAATTCACTACCTCATTAACACACTAAGTATTCCACCCATCTATTTAGCATAACTTAAGGTGAAACTGCCTTCCTAGTGATGGTCCTGTGACCAGATGACTGACCCGTGAAACTGGAAAGGTGGGCCTTCCAACAGATAGACTAGACATTTTACAGTCTTGACCAGTTAAACTTAAGGGGCTATTTGCTACTCTAACATCTCCACAGGAGCACTGGGATGATAGGGACTTGTGCTGCTGTGTCTGTCTCACTTCACTTAGGTTCTGTGGATTTAACCTCAAGTTCTTATACTTGGGGGACAAGCGCTTTACCCACTGAGTGATTTCCTCAGTTCCTACTGTGAAACTCACATACCTTCCTATAACTATTTAGAGACTCATAGTTCTATGTGTACTCTCTCTCTCTCTCTCTCTCTCTCTCTCTCTCTCTCTCTCTCTCTCTTTTTCTGGCTTCCTTATAACAGAGGAAAATTTACATGTTTATATATTCATGCTTCCCTACAAAGTCATATGGGTACCTGAGATCAAACTTACTTATGGTGATTAAAGTCCAATGCTAAAATAATGTTTGCATGATTTAAATATTTCTAAAAGATTTTATATAAAACCTATTTCCACCGTGTCATAATTATTATGGTTATCAATACAACACAGCTATCTGAACAATATTATGAAGTATTATTCTAGCATTATAGTCTCCACACAGCCACATCTACACACATGCATTCATTCATAGCCTAAATGATTCCAAGGAACTGGAAAGTAAATAGCTGAACTCTGATGGAATACTTTAAAAAATACATAACTTGTAGACTCAGAGCAGCATAGAATTGTTCCATGTTAATTAATATGGCCCCACCATCTTCAACTCCCAAATAACTCTAGATAAAAGACTAAAATTAGCTATTCTCACAAAGCTGAACTTGCAAAGGCATGAACTGATAGATCAATGGTCTACTATAATGTGTATCTATAATTTGTGAGGGAGAGTAAGAATTTAATTTGTAGCAGGCTTTTTTGCAGATGAAAGACCCTGAGGGAATCACTCAATGCCCAGAGTTTCTATTTAATGTGTAGCAGATGAATAACAAGAGGACAAAAGGAATTGATTTTCAACATTTGGAAGTTTCTCAGGACGAGAGGGACAAAGGGAAGTTTATCTTCCCTTTAACTGCTGACTTTTCCACTGTCGAATTAAACTGGACAGAAATTCAATTTTACTGGCATCTTGCTGCTAAGATGTATAAAGACTTTGTTTTGTTTTATATGTTTTTTTTTTCTTTAATTTATTAGTGTCCTTTGAAGAGGACTCATGCAAGTTGATGATAGTGTGAGGCATGCTTGTCACCCTGCAAACATCACTTTCACATGAAGGTTTTAGGGCTGATGTATTTATTAAGAGTATTGTGTAGATGAGTAACTTCAAAAGGCAACCGGCTGGGAAGGATGTGATTTAATAAGTGTTTGCATCCAGGCAATGAATGACATGCTAGATTCCTTCAGTCTAAAGTCATCCAGGAACTGATGTGACAGCGGTCAGTAGCATTAGTACATGAAACAGACCTCAGGCCTGGAATACTCCCAATATACCCTCCCAGACAATCACAAAGGTTCCAGAGAGAGCATTCTGTTCCAGCCTTCACCTTGGTTGGCCCATGGGGGAGAATCTGTCAAGACTATGAGGCCTAGCTAATATCTGCACAGACACTTTAGGACTCATAATTCTTACTTGCTTTCATATTTAGGAATTTTCTTGAATATTAACCACTTGACCCTCAAGTAAAGTCCACATAGCATTGTCTTTTACATATTTTATGAACTACTTTTTATTTTTTGTGAAGAGAGAAGAAGTCTGGTTATGGTAGCAACTGGTGGAAAAGATATACATTATCATAACAGTTATTGATTCTAAAATCTCAGTCAGAAATTAATGGGCCTTCTTTGTGTGGTCTACTCAAGGAAGTAGGCTGTTTGCTACATTTAAGTCTAAACTAAGCATTTATTTACTTATTTTTACAGTGGATTACTGAGTTTTTATTATATCAGGGATAGTGCTGACTCAGGGAGTACCACAGTCTGTGCCTCATATTTACTACAGTTCACCAAAAGAGTTAAGTAATGATATAGGAGTTGTAGTAAATCTGCAGGTGAAGGTTTCTGGTGTTTAAGGATGATTAGGAACTGGTTAATAACTGCCCCCACCTCTCCTGACCCTCATGGCCTTTCCCTTTTCCTCAGGCAGTGGAAACACCCTCTATAATGGAGAAGCAGCAGGGCAGGGAGAGAATGATATGTGGAACCTGACAGCCTTGTGGCTGATGAGTGTTTTAGGAGGGTCACTCTAATGACTGGTGTGGTGAGAGACCCTTGGAGACCAAAAGGAGGGACACACTGATTGTGTTTTAGGAGAGAGATCAGGAGGAAGACTTTTGGATGTGGGTGGTTGTAGTGATGCCAGGTGTTGGGGTTCAGGGGTAAATTGCATGTGCTGGCCGAGTACTCATGAGAAAGACTGGACACACTGGGTTTTGAATATATTAGGTGAGCAGACTTGAATTGCATTCAAAATCTTACTGGAGGTGGGGAAGCTGTTAAGTTGGAAGAATTCTTACCTATCATGCATGAAGCCCTAGGTTTGATCCCTAGCACCTCATAAAATTGAGCATGATAGTGCACGCTTTTGATCTCAGCAGTCTGGAGGTAGAGGCAGGAGGATCAGAAGCTCAGGGTTGTCCTTCACTGTATAACAAGTTGGAAGCCAGCCTGGACTGAGTGACACCATGTTTCAACAACAACAGAGCAAAACAATACAAAAAGTTACTTGCTAAATTTGATCATTCCATGGTGCTTGTGGGGGTGGCAGAGAAGGTGACCAGTGTTTGAGTGTGTGTGTGTGTGTGTGTGTGTCTGTGTGTCTGTGTGTGTGTCTGTGTCTGTGTCATCTGTGTTGTGTGTGTTGTATGTATAAACACTAGTTAAAACATTTTAAAACTCAAGCGAATTACTGAGTCCAGCTAGACAGACAGTAAACAGGGCACAGAGGCTTACCGATTTCATTTTGTCCAGTGTGAGAAAAGGATTCAGTGTTGCATCCACCGTGTGGGGTGAACATACGTTTGCTTATACTGAACATTCCCATTATATATGCTACCATCTAAAGCCACTTTTACAGTGTCCCACTGTAAAAGTTTATGCTGTCACCACATTTAAAGGCCATGGCCAGGCCGGGTGTAGTGGCACATGCCTTTAATCCCAGCACTCGGGAGGCAGAGGCACGTGGATCTCTGTGAGTTCTAGGCCAGCTAGGACTACAGGGAGACCGTGTCTCAGAAAGACCAAAACAGCAACAACAAAAAGCCATGGTCAGCAGACTGGATGATCTTCTGCTCTGTGCTGGAGGAATCCAAAACCAGAACCCAGAAAACTAAAATTGGGCTGGGCTCCATTATCAACTCTGGAGTCACTGGGCAGTTCACTGTGTTCCTGTCAGATTCTATTTCTTATAGGAGATAAGAAGTTATTTGTTTGTCTTACTGGTTGTTCAAAAGATGTTGTACACCATCATTTTAATTTACAGTGTTTAAAGAAATGAAATCCATGGTAATATCAACCCATATTGCCCACGCTTGTTCACAGTCTTTACTTTTGTGAATGGAACAACATTCCCTTTCCTTTCTCTTTGTGTTAAAGTATTTCCTACTGTAGTCTCCTACCCATTTCTTATCTAGATCATGTATAGAGTCTACGTAGTCCAATACATCAAGATATACATGTGGATAATATAAAAACACAAATTATTGTTTCATCTGTCCCCTTTGTAGGGGTTTTGAGCAGGAACGTGGGCTTCAGAATTGGAAGTCCTGAGTTCTTGATCCAGTGTAGTTATTTATCTTTCTCGGAGCTGTTTGTAC